GCGGGTGGTTCCCCCCGCCGCCTCCGGTACGTGGGCGGGAGACACAGCCTCCCCCGGCCCGCACAGCCCAGCTCCGGCAGCTATGGAGATGCGTGCTGCGGCGGCACCTGTGCGCACACTGTGACACCCGCTATTCTGACACACGTGCGCTCTCACTGTCTCCAGACACCACGAGCCGCACGCGTTCACACCCACACTCACCTGCGGGGACCACGTGGGAGAATCTGGAGGGCTGACCCTGCTGCGGTACAGTCGCAGTGGCAATGATGCGAGAATCTTTTAACTCCCTCGCCGACTGGACTGTCAACTCCTTGGCGTCAGGGACGAGGTCGTGCTGGCTCAGCAGTGCCCGGCATCGCGCAGGCACTTCAGTAAACCTCCGTGGAGTGAGTGTGTGAATGAATTAAGTGGAACTGTGCACCGGGAAGGTAACAATTCCGACCCTTTAGTTAAAAGAATTTTACTGTCGTACGAAACTAAGCGGTGTTTCTGTGTCTTCTGTTCTAAGGTTCCAGGAAACCCATTTGTTCTGCCCCAGTATCTAGCACTGATGCCATCCCTACCTGAATTTGTCAACACCTTTTAGGGTAGGCACTGTTCCGCGTAATACATAGCCCGAAGCAGGTTGTAGGTATACAGAACAAATCAAGGATGTCGCTACTCTTCTGAGCTTTGGTAAGACTTCTCATTCCCCAGTTTATCTGCCAACCTGCCTTACCACGACCTTCCCCACTCGCTACCTGCATCCCATCCCAAATATTCTTACACTGACCCTTGCTTTCACTTTGGTTAGTTCCTAGAGAGCCGGTTCCTACTATTTATAGAAACAACGCTGGCATTTGACGTTGGCGGTGTATATATAGGGCAGATACACAACTGGTAATGGATAAGAAGTTGCAATATACTGGTTATTACAAAATTGCAGAGAATCAACTTTGGCCAGAGGCATTAGAATTAAGGTACTGTAATCTTGGTATCTGTATTGGGGGCCTTCTTCGGAAAACTGAGTTATCTGGCCTTTGCACTTCAAGTGGTAAACCCTCAATTCTGAACTCCCCTGCAGCTTGCTAAAATTGTAAAAGCTCTGTATTCAGAAAATGCAAGCACTGCAGCGCCAGACAGGAAGGAGCACGTTGCCAAGACATGTTGTTCAAGGCAGTTCCACAGGGGAAGGTTCCCAGTTCAGGTCTGAAGACATTCCTTAGTCAGGTCCTGAGACATGGCTTAGTACTCTGGCATGCTTGTGTCCATGAGGGAGGGGCGGATGAAAGCTGGGGTGAATCACTGTCTAGAAACCCTGTTACTGGTGCTTTCTTTCTCTGTCTTTACTCATGAGGAGATAAATGCAATTTAAAAAATTTTTTTTAAATAAAACACAATTCCTGAAGGCATCAGTCAACCAAATTCAGGATACCGTGTCTTCTACTGATTTAATCGCTCTGCAGAAATCAAGTTTTCAAAATTTATGAAAATTGTGTTCATAACACCTTTTATCCAGGTGCCTTGGACTACTTTAGAATAATCATTAAGCCTGTCACATCCCAGGGAGGCAGTTTTATGAGTCTCTTTATACAGCCTGGTAAGTAAGAAATTAGAGAGGCCACAGACTAATGACTGGGATAGGAAGCTGCCCAAGATAACACAGCCTTGTCTGTCAGTTCCCTCAGGTTTTAACAACTTTACTACTGACTCAGTCAAGAAAACAAGGCCAGGGACAGAATACAAAGAAGTCAAATGTAATAATAAGTTCCAATTAGATTTACTTACTCTTGGATAAATTACAGAATTGTGAAAATACTATTATATTTTAGTAAGTCAGCAAGTGACATGAAGATTAAGTCAGCTGGATCCCACATGTCCAACTGAGTGGCTCAAGTCCAGGACCTAGTGGCTTGAAAATTACACTAGGTGCAAGGGGGTACATGCCTAAAATCCTGAGGAGAAAAGAGGAGAAGGAGTGATGTCTTACTTTCTCTTTCTCTCTCTCTCTCTGTCTCCAGCAACTGTGTGTGTGTGTGTGTGTGTGTGTGTGTGTGTGTGTGTGTGTATCCAACTTAGCATTGTTGTGGGATCTGTATTTTGTTTAAATGGAAGAGAAACCTACCTCAGCTCTCATCCTTCCTTTTTTAAAGGGGGATAAGTGTCTTCAAAGCGCTGCAGCCCTCTTTGTGGTTACAAGTACTGTGTGTGGACTTGTATAAGCAAGCAAAAGTCACATGTCTTTTTACCTTTTAATTTTACAGCAGCTGCCTATAAATGCTGAAGTTCAAAACAACAAGTGAAGAAAATTACCCTGGTAATGAAAGGGTTACTGCTATTATATTGCTGCTAATCCAGTTTGGGGAAAACTTCAGGTTGCTAGGAGGAGATAACCAAGTCCATCCAAGAAGAAAAGCAAAGGACTAAAGAATGCAGGTGGGATAGTAGACAAGGCCACTCAAATAAAAGAGAGCATTATCAGTGTACAGGAGGATGTGCCTTCTAGAAACACTCAAGCCCACCCAAATCAGGAAGAGCCAGGTGTCAAATTTATCACTAAGTACCTGGAACCAATTTAAGAAAATTCCCAATGCTACAGCTGATCATAAAAGAAATTAGCATAAGGTGCTAGAAGGAAAGGAATGTTAATGATTACAGAATGGCAGAATGGCCATTCAGGATTCTGAAGGTTATTCAGCATATAACTGAAATAGATAGATAGATAGATAGATATCCAAAGTCATGATTTTTTCTGTTTTTCTATGCAAAAATGAGTCATGACTTTTCTGATAACCATATATTCATACATATTCAGATATATATATATATATATATATAGTATATGAGTGTGTATATATGTGTGCATATGTATATGCTATTTATACATATATCCATTCAGGATTCTAATAGTTATCTTCCTCTTACATGCATTCACCATATATATGAGATAAAGATAGATATTGCTGCATATATTCTCTCTATATATGTGTGTGTGTGTGTATATATATATATATATATATCTGCTTAAATCCCAGTCCTCTTTCCTGTATTCTCTATTGGGTCATCGGGAAAGTTACGGCACATTTTTACATAGAAAAATATCTTATGACTTTTCCAAAAACCTAATATATATGGAAACTTGATACTACCTACTGCTTTCTTTATGCATGATGAAAGGACATAGCAGATGCTCAGAAGCTTCGTAGAAATTAATAATTGTATTTCTAATGATGTCCGTTAGGTCAATTACAGTTGATGAGAGTTGTGTTAAAGAAACAAAACTGATCAGAGACATAGCTCCTGACATTGTCCTTGTACTCTTCTATTTCCCATCAAATAAAACAACTGTTAGGATTTTTTCTATTATCCTTCTAAATGTTTAAAGCCTAAGAACACTGTCCCAGCCTTCTAGTGATACACACACATCAATACACCTTAACAAGTTTCATAACGTTTGTTCACACCTATTGTTATCAAATATTTACAACTGATAGTGTTCCTAGTCCTTCTGATATATTATTTTAAGATAATATTTAAGATTTATCTACACAATTTCTTCAATGGGACATTAACTCTATGTCAATATTGTCTGATAGCCTTTTAAATATATTTATCACTGCTTGGATTTCAGGTATTAAAATTGAACCTGTTTATAACATTTTTAAAGAAAGCATACCAAGATATATCTTTTGATAGTGTAGTGGTTACATGGTTGAATTACCGTGGTAGATAGATAGATAGATAGATAGATAGATAGATAGATAGATAGATAAAGTTAAATAAAATAATTCTTTTTTTAAAAAAAGGGACTAGCAGATGGCATAATGGTTATGTTGCTGGACTCCCACATAGTCAATTGCAACTCAAGTCCAGGACCTGGCAGCTTAAAACGCTGGGTGCGTGTGTGTGCATGCCCAGAATCCCAAGAGGAGAATGGAGAAGGGATTATGGTTTGGCCATCCCCCTGGGGGCTGATTTCTCGCTTTCTGTCTCTCTGTCTTTATCTCTCCAGCAAGCACACATGCCCTATAGCAAACTAATAAATTTTTTTAAAAAGAAAGAGCATAGTAGATAAGCCCAGAAAGTGACAATACACACCACAACACAATGATATAAATCCAGCATAATTGTTTTTATTTATTCTGAATACTACTATGGGTGTACAATAGTGTACACATTTATAAATGGAATATGTAGTTTGCATGACTGCAAATGCTTCGTAGAGTGAATACCAATCAACTTTACGGAAGAGACAAACACTGAGAAAAGGGGATTCCCTGCATTAGAGAACTGATCAGCAAATTTGAGGGGTCATTAGACATGTTGTTAAGTAGTGACTATATTTTATTTTTGATAGAGAGCATGTGTGTGTGTGTGTGTGTGTGTGTGAGAGAGAGAGAGAGAGAGAGAGAGAGAGAGAGAGAGGGAGAAAATTACCCTTGACAAGTTGTCAATCCCCATTCTTCAGCCCTCCAGCTCCTCTTTGGTGAAACTTGGACATGTCCACAGGTACCCAGCATGCTTCAAGCCAATCCATGGATCCAAACCCTTGTCAGCTACATGGTTTCCAGCACTACCATTCAGTTTGCTATCAACTGTGCCACCAGGCTGAGCCTTAGCATGGTGCTTTTTAGGGCTGTTCATGAGTAGCATGCATTGCTACTTTGTTTTTCTTGCCAAATAAAATTTTATTGTATAGACATTTTGTTTATCCATCAGTGTGTAGACATTTGGGTTATTACCACTTTTTAGCATTTATGGATAATGCTGTTACAAACTTTGTGTCCAAGCTGTAGTGTAGACACAAATGTTTTCATTTGTCTTGGATATATATACTTAGCAGTATAATTCCTGTGTCATATAGTTACTCACATTTTTTGAGGGACTGCCAGACTCTTCCAAAGTGGATGCTCCATTTTACATTCCCATCAGCAGTACAAGAGGAGATAATTACTCTTAGATTCAGATGCTCCCTACCTCTTAGCTGTGAAATCCTGTGCCAAGTGTACATAACTCTCAACCTGAGTCCATCATCTGTAGAACAGAGATAATGATAGTATCTACTTCATGGGAGTGTTAATATTCCTGGTACAAAGTAAATCCTTAATAAATATTAGTTCCTCTCCTTCCATCTTTGGTATTTGGTTAGCAACATTTATTCTGTAACTCCCTATTAACAATAAGTGATGCATCCACATAGCTGGTGCTGAATAAATACTTTTCATGGGTAATTGTAAAAGCAATAAAAATTTATGTTTTAATACCAAAATAAATTTATCTCTTTTTACCTAGTATGGAACTAATACCTCGACTATAGAAGAGAACAAAGAAATGAGTAGCATTTTTTTCTGATATGGCAGTCTTAGAATTTTTTTCTGGAAACATTTTATATTTCTCCAGCCTTTTCTTTTAAAGAATTTCAAGGGCCAGCAGGTAAAGTGGTGGTTAAGGCACTAGACACTTCCAAATAGCCAACCATAGTTCAAGTCCCGGAACTGGTGGCCTGCTTTCTTACTTTCATTCTCTCTGTGTGTCTGTCTTTCTCTGATCAAATGAAAATGATTGAATGAATAAATAAAAATTAAATAATTCTGGGACCAGCAGGTGGCATAATGGCTATGTTGCTGGACTCTCATGTAGTCAACCCTGGTTCGAGTCCCAGACCCAGTGGCTTAAACTCACACTGGGAGCATGGACCTGTCACTTAAACTCATGCTGGGTGCGTGTACGTGCGTGCCCAAGATCCCGAGAGGAGAATGGAGGAGAAGGGATTGTGGTGTGGCCATACCCCCTGGGGGGTGATTCCTCACTTTCTGTCTCTCTGTCTCTCTTTGTCTTTCTGGTGAATGCACGCACCCTATAGCAAAAAAACTCTCCAAAAACTATAATACTCATAATAATAATAAATAATTATTTTTTTAAAAAGTTTCAAATATATGAGGGAATATCACGAAGTTCATGGGAAATAGAATTAAAAGTAAAAATATAAACAATTTGTCAACACGTTTATCAAGTTCACGACACTTGTGTCAGGGATGATACCAGCCATGTAAGCCTGGACCTAAGGAACTGAAGGTCCTGGGAATGTAACGGTATCAGTGCAGTCTCTTTTACATTATTAACTGAAAAACAAAAGCGAAAAAACTGCCCTTTAAACAAAAGGCAGTTTTTAACATGAAGAAACCAAAAGAAGTCAGGAGGAGCCAAATCAAGACTGTCAGGTAGATTCATTTAGATTTCCCATTAAAATTCTTGCAAAATTGGTCTTCTCTGATGTGAGGAGCATCGTGGTGGAAAAGGATATACTGGTGAAGCTTTCCCAGGCTTTTTGTGCTAAAGCTTTGGCTAACTTTCTCAAAACACTCTCAGAACAAACAGATGTTACCATTCTTTTGGCCCTCCAGAAAGCCAGCAAGCAAAATGTCTTGTGCATCCCAATAAACTGTTGCCGTGACCTTTACTTTTGACCAGTCTGCTTTTGCTTTGATTGGACTACGTCCATTTCTTGGTAGTCATTGCTCTGGTGATGCTTTGCCTTCAGGAGTGTATGGGTAAAGCCAAGTATCCTCTCCCATTACAGTTCTTTGAAGAACTGCTTTAGGGTCTTAATTCCATTTGTTTAACATTTCTGTTGAAAGCTCTGCTCTTTGCAGCTAATCTGAGTGAAACACTTTGGGCTCTCATTGAGCTGAACATTTGCTCATCTTAATTTTTAGTCAGAGGTGTATAAGCTGAACCCATGGAGACTTCTGTGGTGTTGGCTAGTGTTTCTGCTGTTTGTTGCCAGTCCTCTTCAATCAGGGAACAAATAAGATTAATTATTTTCTTCACGAATTGATGTGAATGGTTTGTCACAGCAGGTGTCATCTTCAACACCATCTCAACCCTTCTTAAAATGAGTTATCCATTTGTATGCAAACTGGTGATTTCTTGAGGCAAATCCTTGAGCATTATTCCCACAAACTTCATAAAGCATGATTTCATCTTTCTTCTTCCTTCCATACATAAAAATGTATGTTTTAATACCAAAATAAATTTATCTCCTTTTACCTAGTATGGAACTAATACCTCAACTATAGAAGAAAGCAAAGAAATGAGTAACATTTTTTTTCTGGTATTAGATGTGTGCATATTAGATGTGTGCTCTTGCTTCAATTTTAGCAGAATTCATGTTGCTCTGACAGGGGCTCCTTCTAAACTGATTTCTTATCCTTATTAGTGCCTCAAACTACATTCTGTTCAGATGTGGTTACTATAAGTTAGTATGAGTTTATTTGGTGCAAAAAATAATTGAACCCCATGCATAGTTTTTCTTTGATACATATTTCCATGAAATTCTTCAAGACTCCACATACAGAAGAATTCAAGGAAAATTACAATAGTCACCCATATATATAGACCAACACCTAGATTCAACAATCGCTAATGTTTTGCATGTTTGCATGTGTGTGTCTTTTGATAAGCTATTTGAGAGTAAGCTATAGATATCAACACACTTCACCACAAACACTCTCTTCTAAAAAGAAGAGTTTTCTCTAATATTACCAGTTACCACTACACACCTAAGAGAATGAAGTATAGGGCCAGCACCATAGCACAGGGATTAAGCCCTGTGCATTAGGAACTAGAGCCCACAGGCCGTGGTTCAAATCCTAGCCCCAGTGGCTTCAGAAACATGCCAGGCATGTGTTTGTGAGTTCTCCAAATCTCAATGAGATAGAGAAATAGAGGAAAGGAATGGAAGAACTGCAGCATGACCATGCCTCATGGGGGCTGTTCTCTCTCTTTCTCTCTCTGGTGAGCACACATGCCCTCTGGGAATGAAAAAAAAAATGTTTTTAAGAAAATTAATAATTTCTTAAATCTTTTCATTTCAGGCCAGCCAGGTGGTGTGGTGGCTAAGGTAGCTGGATCCTACATGGCTGACTGTGCAGTTTGAGTTCCAGACATGGTGGCTTAAGAAACATGCTGGACACGTGTGTGTGCATGCCCCAAATTCCAACAAGATGAGAAAATGAAGACGTGATTGCAGCATGGCTATCTCCCTAGAGAGTGATTTCTCACTCACACTCTGTCTCTGTCAGGTGAGTGCACGTGCCCTATAGTAAATAAATAAATAACAAAAACAAAAACAACCTTTTACATTTGAGCCAATACTCAAATTTTCTCAGTTCAGTTCTCAAAATATGTATTATGTGTCACTTTTTTTTTCAAGTTTTTGCTATAGGGCATGTGCATTCCCCATAGAGAGACAGCCAAATGGAGAGAGAGGGAAAGTGAGAAATTATCCCCTAAGAGTGATGACCACACCACAATCTTTTCTCCTCCATTTTCCTCTTGGAATTTTGGGCATGCACACACATGCACCTGGTGTGTTGTCCAAGACTCTGGGGCCAAGACAGACCATGGAGTTGGCCATGTGGGATCCAGTGCCTTAATCCCTATGCCACCTGCTGGCCCTGCCCACATGCAGCTTTTTTCTTAAGGAAAATTGAGTGAAGTTTTATTCATTGCCTTGAGTTCAGTCCAACAAGCTTGCTTTGCTTTTAATCAATCTGAGCACTTGTGACTATTTTAAACCTCTAATATTAGCAGTATTTTTGTTGTTTTCGGATTGCAGCTCAGCTGGTATAATGCTGTTGTACCCAGACACTTTCTTGTTTTGGTTCTGATTAAGCCTGAAATGAAGACTAGTGCAAAACTGTATGTTGCTGTTAATGATGAATTCAAAGAAAATAGAATGGATATTGACAATCACAGACATTTGTTAGTTGCCCCCCCCTACTTTTATTATTATTCTTTCCCTCTTTCTCATCCCACCTTGAGCCTTGAATAGTCATGTGGTCTGTTGGCCACTGACCATGGATGGATCAACCAGTTTATCCTATTTCCCTTAGTGATTAGTTCAGGAAACGACCTATGACCCATGTCAGGCTGATCAGGAAAACTAACATCAGAGCTTTTGATTGAACTGGTGGGAGAGCAAAGTTTCTCCTTCCCACTAACCTAAAAAGGGAGCCTATAATCCCTGGGACTACTGGCAGCTAACTTGGACCCAAAGGGAAGAGCCAATTTGAAGATTTAGCCAATATAAAAAAGAGAACCTGAGACATAAAAAGAAACCAAGATCAGACCAGCCCTGTAGCACAGTACAGGGAACCAGATTGAACTAGGCTGACCACAGCTCAAATTCTGAGTCTGGCAACTTGAAAAACACACAGGGCATGTGCACATGTGTGTCCAAAATTCTGACAAATGGAGAATTGGAGGAAACAATGGACTCAGGGTGACCATGCCCACTGGGGAGTGCTTTCTCTCCCTGTCTCTTTCTCTTTCTCTTTCTCTTTCTCTTTCTCTTTTCTTTCTCTTTCTCTCTCTGGTGAGCATATACAGCCTCTGACAGTTTAAAAAAAGAAAAAGGAGCAGGGGATCTGGTCATAGTGTATAAGCCATGATTAAGTCTCATCTGAAGTCAACATGCTCACCCCCTACTCTAATTTTATTAACCAGTAAATTTGTCTTTGCTTAAGCCTGTTTAAGTTACTTTCTCTGTTGTCTGCAGTTAATACAGTCCCAAGGCATTCAGCCCTTTTACTTTGCTTGTCATTCACCCCTGAGTGTAATACACTGCTATGAAGATAAGGAGGTAACTGATAGACGATAATAACAATTCGTGCATAAAACGCAATTGCACAGGCCTGGCAGTAATCCAGTTACTCAAGTGAAGCTGGATTCATAGGGAAGGTCCTGGGTTCAGGTCCCCAGATGACCTACACATAGCAGGCCCACACAATAACTGGCAGAAAAGGCTATAGGCAAGGAGTGTTGTGAAAAATTGTTGAGGGTGTTTGTCTTTGTCTCTCTCTGTCTGTCACTGTTATGAAATGAAATAAGCTTAAAAAAAAAAAAAAAAAAAGACAGGCCAGTCAGTGGCATGGTGGTTAAGGCAGCTGGATCTCACATAACTGACTGCTCAGTTTGAGTCCTAGACCTGACAGCTTGGAAAAACATGCTAAGCACCTGTGCATGTGTGCTCAAAATCCCAAAAGGAGAAATGGAGAAGGAATTGCAGTGTGGCCATCCTCCACTGGGGGTGCCTTCTCACTCTTTCTCTTTCTCCAGCAATGGCACACACCCTATAGCATATTAAAAATGAATAAATACAAATAAGTAAATAAAGAGAAAAAAATAACTGCACAGATGAACATCATATTATAAAACAATCATTTATTTTAAAAAATGATTTATTCCATTCTATTTATTATTATTATTA